TCTTCTGCAACCTAACTCTATTACCAAAGTGGCCAGTATAAAGTTTAACAGAAGTACAACAGATAAAATTTTATGGCAGACTACTTCCCACCAAAGCTTCACCAAAGCCATATATTCCAAAAATTTCAGTTGGGAGCAAACACCCTGGGGTGATCATTCATGGAATAAATTCCTATCCCCTTCTACGTCCTTTTGCTATTGGAGAATATTCCATAAAATGATCCCTACTGATGACATTCTAAAGCTGAAGGGATTGAGGGGTCCCTCTAAATGCTGGTTATGTAAGAAGGAAGAGGAAACTCTGAATCATTTATTCTTTGAATGTGAATTTGCTCAACAGGTACGGAAACATTTCCTAAATCAGTTGAAAATTGATCAGAAAGAGCTCACATGGGATAGGCTGGTCAATTGCTGATGGCACTGGAAGATAGGGAAGTATGCTGCTATCCCTTTCACCATTGCTTGGTTCATCTGGATGCTGGATGGAAAGAAACAAGGTTAAATTTGAAGAAGCAAATCCAAATGTGGGGAGTACTGCTAGAAATTGTGTTACTTACTTGCATAAGATGATTAATTGGAAAGGATTTCCTAACTTTTCTAACTCCTGTACATCCATTAAGTCTGATCTTATTCATCATTAGAGTCTAATGGAAAACACTGGGTGAAGATTAACACTAATGGAAGCTTTACTAAAGATGGAGCTGGTGTGGGAGGTATCTACAGAAACCATTTGGGTAAGTGCTTGCTTACTTTTATACCCCAGTCCTGGCCAATGATGCCACAGAAATTGAACTCATTGTTATGTATTGGGCAATCAACCTTGCCACTAAGGCTAATTGGAATAAAATTTGGTTGGAAGTTGATTTTGCTGTGATTATTCCCCTTTTAAATCAGGAGGAAGAGACTCCCTAGCACTACTCTTATTGGATAAGCAAAATCAGAGATCTCACTAGCAAGATACAAATTCAGTTCACTTTCATCTATAGGGAAGGTAACCAGCCTGTAAACTGGTTGGCCCAACTTGGATCACACTATAATGAGACTGAAGTTGTTGTCAACCTTCCACCTGCTCTCCTTTATATGCTGCAAGGAGATATACTAAATGTCCCTCACATCAGAATGTTCTACAAAGATAAATGATTTATGTGGTGGCAGACGCATTCTCACACTTATTTCCTTCTGCTGAGTCATTGTAGTTTTTCTTTCTTGAGGATGACACTGGCTTATTTGGGGGATTTCCTGGGTTCCTGTTTTGAACCATTTGTGAAGTCCCCAGCCCTCTCTGATGTCTGTACTAGTCCTCTTTACTTCAACATGTAGGGAGTCATAAGCAACTCCTTTCACCAATATATATATATATATATAAGTCGGGCATCGGGATATCCATTTCGGTGACCAAAAACTTCCAATTTGGTGACCGACAACTTCTAGCAACTCCGCTGGGGATAATTTCTCTCTCCATTTGAATCAGGGAATCTTGGCTTCATACACCGTTAATGTACGTATGTATGTATGTGTGTATGTCTGTGTTTGTGTATGTTAGTTTGTGTGTGTGTGTGTATGCATGTTAGTATGTCTGCCTGTGTGTGTATGTTTGTTTGTCTGTATATGTCTGTATGTGTGTGTGTGTGTAGGTATGTATGTTAGTATGTGTGTATCTATGTTTGTATATATGTCTATATGTGTGTATGTATGTATGTATGTCTCTATATGTGTGTCATGTATGTATGTATGTATGTATGTGTCTGTGTATGTATGTATGTGTATGTCTCTGTGCGTGTCTGTATATATGTATGTGTCTATATGTATGTATGTGTCTATGTATGTGTGTGTATGTCTGTTTGTATGTCCGTATGTATGTCTGTGTGTGAGTATATTTGTATATCTGTATGTGTGCGTATGTCTGTATGTCTGTGTGTATGTATGTATGTGTATGTGTGTATGTACGTCTGTATGTATGAGTGTATGTATGCATGTATGTGTGTACGTAAGGTGCGCGTCTGTATGTATGTGTATGTCTGTATGTATGTATGTATGTGTACGTATTTAGATGTCCAGGTATGAATGTATCTTAGTATGTACATGCGTGCGCGTGCGTGTGATATATATATATATATATATTTGATTGGGAGTTCATGAATTGCGAGGATGAAGTTTTATAAGGATAGGAGATGGTAATAACCTTTGTTAAATCGGGTAAAAATTTTGCAACTTAAAATCTATCCCAAATTTTACATCTCATGTCATTCAATTAAATTTTTTAAAATTCTATGCATCAAATCCATCAATTTAATATAAAATACTAAATGTAAATTATTAATAGAGTGGATAATATAAAAATTGAAACTATAAGTATAATTAATTTAATTAAAACCTTAATTCCCCTAATCTTTCCCAAATGCCGCATAATTACTGTTCGCACCTGCCTTACCTTATGCGATATAACCCTTGGTTGGGGTCGAATGGGGGGCCTCTCACTATAATCTTTGAACTCCTCTCCGTTTAATTCTTCCTCTTCCCGTGAAACTCCAAGGCCCGACAATTGTAGCCAGAAGTGAACTGAAGCAGGAGAACAACTCGCAGAGTGCCACAGCCTATGATTCGGGTCTCCGGAAAAAAATCAAAAGGTAAGAAACTTACTCTAGCTAACTTGCTTTAGCTATATTCTAGACATTCCTTTTCTTTCTTAACATTTTTGTTTCAACGTTTGGCCTGCATTTTTTCAGCTGTTGAAGGCTTCGACCTTATGTCAGAATGTCTAGATAGGTTTGTGAAATTCTGTAAATGCTTAGCAAGATATCAGCGAAGATGGGAAAAAAGTTAAGCTAATAAGAATAAGAGGAAAAGACATTTGGCAGTCTCAGAAAATGACAGGTTGTAGAGAAACCTGTTTAAGGTATGTTATGGCTGACCAGACAACGCAAGAAGATGTTCCTTCGTGATTAAGATGAGTTGATTTTAAAAGTGTAACAAGAGTCTTCTCCTATTGGTTCTTCCATTTCTTCTGAGATATTTAGGCTTGAGCCTCTTTAAACCTTTATGTTGATCGTTTTTTTCTCTATATTACTTGCAGATTTCAAATTACACACCCTCAATTGCAGCAAGACGATTAAGAGCGTGATTACTCGGTCTCCCGATGGGAAATTCACAATGACGTGGTAAGTAGAGATGATTGCATGGAATGTATCAAGTGACCGGGCAAATATGGCACTGCATATATCTGGGTGTTGATAATAACGAAGTTGGCTATGGTTTTGTACTGGTTGTCTCCTCATCTCGGGTAATTTGTAGAGCAATTACTCAGTTTGCCTCTTTTTCCCATAAAACCAATATAATTCTATGATAGATTGCCCCCTTCAATATTTCTCTCATCAAAAACTCTACCAATCACTTGGTGAATTAACAAAATGCTAAATCCTTCACTCATACTTAGGACAAACAATGATATTTAACATGTACAATAACAATGAGAGAAATGTTACAGAAATATCAAAGTAAGAAAAAAAATTTAATAATATGACAAATTAAAGAACAAAATTGGCGCTTTCACCTTCACATTTCCTCCCATTATTTCCTAAATTATCTTGGAATATTCATTATTGTCAATGATAAGGAAAGAACATGGTTGCATATAGGAAGATCAGAAGTGTAAAGCTCCCACAATAGACAGAATTTATTTGATCCATACCTGATGACTGCACTCAATACTATAAAGCTTAACCACAACTCAAATCTAAATTTGGACATTTGCAAATATTCCTGGGGATTAACACTTTCAAAATTGCAATCTCCTAAATTGAAAACCAAAGCTACATGAGCCAACCAGCTGAATTTCGAAGGGTTCAACATATTAACAAAGTTATGAAGAGGCAAAGAGGTAAGCTTTCACAAACAAAAACTGTTGAATACAAGCTTCAAATTCTAGAACACAAGATTTACATTTGGACAAAATGTAAATTCTACAGAAAAACAAACTTCCACATGACTTAAATTTTTATACGATGAGAAAACGACAAAAGTTTAAATAACTTATAATTACATGCATTGCCGTTGTAACATCCCTTTGAACATTTCGGTTTTAAAACTCTAAGATGGTTCAAATAAATTGCATTTTAAGTAAACCTTATTACAAAAATAACATTACACAACACTAGACACAAAATGCGCTACCTCAATTTTTGTGTTGCATCCTGCCACTCTCTGCACCAGCATAGGGATCGATTATAACATTTATTACTGCTGGTTTCTTGGAAGAGAAAGATTCAGAAAGTGCAGATGTAAGTTCCTCAGGTGTCTCGACAACATAACCTTTACCTCCAAAAGCTTCTATCAAAGTATGGTAAGCTGCCCCTGAAACAAATGAAGTAGGAGCAGGATCATCCTTGTATGGACCACATATTTCATCAGGGTTTCTTCGGTCACCACCATAAACACCGCCATTGTTAAACACAATAACTACAACACGTAACCCGTACCTCACCAATGTCTGCAGAAACACGCATCATCAAATGTAAGAAAATAATCAGGTTTCAAAACTTATGCCCTATAAATGTTAACAAGTGTGAGAATGCAAACTCAATGATGACAAACTGACATTTATTTCAAGTTAGAACAGATTCTTGCACTAAGTTGCGCGTACACTAAATTTTGATCAGAATATAGAATATATGAAGTTTCGACTGCAGCTCCAGTAAACTAATTAATCAGTAAGCTAATTAATAGAAACCACCTATCAAAATCTTATCAGACTTTAACTAAAAAACCCAAAACATATCAACAACATTAAGAATAATACGTACTTGTCCATAGAGGTGATAGAATTAAATTTACATTATATAAGAACATAATATAAATAGTCCCGCAGAAAAATTTTAAGCTAGCAAACCTTTACAGATTCACTAGTGATATTTATGATTGAGAGGTGTGTGGTGCGTTAACTTTAAGGCTGATCTCAAACATAGCAATACAAAGAAAAATAATAAAATGTTGTTCTGGAAGTGGCATGACATTTACATGACACTTTATTATCAATGTGAGCGTTACTTATTAAGCGCTTGCCAGTGCATAACATTACAAAATAAAACAGACAAACATTTTAAGGGGACTTTCATGCCAAGTTTTATGATAATGCAGAATCAAGAGCTATCATGTATTGGATAAGCTAGTTTTTTTCTTTTTCACAAAAAATTCAGTAGACATGCATAGATAATAAAAAGTTATTCAACTAGGTTTCAACATGACTTCACACGTAACTGCAAAGCAGCTTAGGAAACAAACTAGCCCAATCCTTAAAAATTCTTGAATAAAAGTGGTTCTTTTAGCGCATCTTTTTCAGTAACTGATGTATTTCTTCTTACAGGTGAATAGAGTAGAAGGAAAAATAAATTTTAGGGATAAGTACATATATATATAGCACTCATGTGAAAATTTTGAACTCTCAAACCAATGTATTTATATGTGCCACGATCAAAATATTGAGAATTTCATAAAAATGAAAAATCTGTGTTGGGACTTTATCATGAATTTTGATATTTGAGTAAAAAATTGAAAAATGGATGAAAGTGGGTACTAGATTTGTAAATTACAATGTTTCAGGTGTTATATATGTAATTGCCCCTAAATTTTAGGATAGTTGAACACTGCAAATGCTATAGCATATACAGTCCTAAAGAGGTACCTCTATAATGAATATCTAAAACTATCGACAAATAAAATTTAACTGTTAATTTTTAGGTTGATAAGTTCATCAATGAAAAGGGTACATGTAATTGACAGTACAGAAATAACCCGCATGTGATATATCTTGCAAGTTAAACATTCTAGTTTACTATGTTAAAAAGACAAATAATATGCAACTCTAAAAAAAATTCAGAGATAAAGTTTGCAGTATTTTAGCATGTAAGAAGTTTTTAACAATTACCTTAAGATTTGGTCGAACAAAATTTTAAATTGGCTATCCCTATGCGATTGGTATCCCTATGCGATTGGTATAAACTGTAAGGGAAATAGACGACGGAAATAAAGGAGCAAAGTAATGTCCAGCGCAGACGATACGAAAAACAAAAAAGCCTTTGCTATTGTAACGATGATAACGAAAAACTCTTCAAAATCTGAAATCAACCGACAAATAAATGATAACTTAAATCAGAAAACACTCTGATAATCAAAAGATTTAAAAAAAAAACATTTATATGAAGAAAAGAGAAACTAAAATTTCAAAGATGAGGAAATTAGCACATAACATATTTTGCATCAAGGAAAAATCAATCTGACCTCAACTTCCATAGCACTGAATCCAAAACCTGAGTCCCCTTCAACAGCAACCACCAACCTGTCAGGTGAAGCAACTGCAGCAGCAATGCAGTAACCCAAGCCAACCCCCATCGTTCCCCATGTTCCTGCATCTAACCTAGTCCTCGGCTCATTCTGTACTAGCACAGCTCTTCCGCCATCCATAGTGTTCGCACCTTCGGACACCAATATTGGAGCAGGGCTTCCCTGAGCAAGAATTGCATCCCTTATTATCCTCATAGGTGTAAAGAAGTTAAAAGGAACTACGTCCTTAGCCAACTGTATTTCCATCTTCGCTACATTATCTTTTGCCTTTTTGGAAATGGCAAACACCCAAGGATGCGCCTTCCCAAGGCAGAAAGGATCATCCTTAATCTCCCTGTTGATCAAATCCAGAACCAAGCCAGCATCTCCAACCAAACCAAGATATGGCTTCCTCAACTCAATCTCCTCCTTTGATACATCCACAAGAATAAATTTTACGTCATTAGACCACCTGGGCGGCTCCCCGAAGTGCAGCAACCAGTTTAGACGTGCACCTACAACCAACGCAACATCACAACCGCCAATGGCAAGCGATCTTGCAGCAGTGGCTGCAAGCTCATGAGTATCAGGCATTAAACCTTTGCCCATTGGCGTAGGCAGGAAAGGGATACCAGTTGTCTCAATTAGACTCTTCAGGGAATTTTCTGCACGAGCATAGGCCGCACCTTTGCCGAACACAATCAGCGGCCTGTCGGCCATTCTAAGCAAGCATACGGCTTTCTCAATATCCAAAGGACTAACGCTATCTCCAATCCATCGAACCCTCGGGTTTTCTGCGCCGGAGAGTAACAAAGCGGCGTCCTCTTCGGAAATAGTCTGATGCAGGACATCCGTAGGGAGGTCTAAATAGCAACCTCCGGGCCTTCCTTCTACAGCGTGGCCTAATACGGATAGAACGATCCGGGGAATATGGGAGATCTCGGTGGCCTTAACGGCAAATTTGACAAAGGGTTGGACAGCGGCAATCTGATCGAGCTCTTGAAAATCACCCTTTCCGAAGTCTCTCTGATCGCAAGATCCGGAGATCATGACAAGCGGCCAGGAGTTCACTGTGGCGTTGGAGAGACCAGCAAGCCCGTGCACGCAACCAGGGCCAGAAACAGTAAGGAAGACACCTGGACGGGATGTGAGGTAGCCATAGGCGGAAGCGGCGTAGCCGGCTGATTGTTCGTTGTGGAAGGCAATAAATCGGATACCAAGCGCGACTGCGCGAGTGGCGAGAGATGTTACCGGGATGCCGACAACGCCAAACATGTGCCTTACACCAGCGAGAGCCAGAACACGGGCCGTTAGAATGTTGCCATCTATTAAGGCCTGGCTTTTCTCTGGATTTGCACAAAGGATTTTGGAGTCCGCCATGGCCAAGATCGGGGTGCTTAGTGTAAGTTAGAGAAAGAGGGCTGTAGCGGGCAATACGATAAAGCGAAGCAGGGGCAATAAATAGACTGAAAACCAAGGTTTCGCTCGGGGACGGCTTTCAATGAAATTAGTAGTAAAAAACGAGCGAAAGCACGTTGGCGAAAGACTCGTGGTTTGGCAAACAATTTTTTATAAAATCATTATATAATTAGGATTCCAAAAAGATTTTAGAGATTATAAATTTAAAATTTTAATTGATGAATGACCATGTAATTTAAATTTGAAAATTTAAAAAAATACTTCGTTAAATCATATTTTATTGCATAAATGTGATTCATTAAAGTCTAATTAGACAGAATTGTTATAATTATCTAGAGAATATGCTTAAAAAGCAGTATTAACCCTTAATCGATAGTTTGACGCAAAATTCGTATTTCGACTATTAGGTTAGTTATTTATCATAGGCATAAAATATTTTGTCATTTTCCAGAATGTAAAATGACACCTAAGCGAGTAAGCGGTACCGCAGCAGCCGTACGGACGAAGCCTTCCCAAGGCTTGCCTCCCCTAGGTATGAGTAATCGTATAGAGAAGTTTTTTCAATTTTAAAAAAAAAGTGAGCCTAAGTTGCGTTTCCACATTAAAATTTATGAAAATTTTTGAAATTGGTCAAAATTATTGTCGTTGATCATTATTTACCTAAAAATTGGAAAAAAATTGTGATGTGGTTCATTCCTAATTTAACATTTTTGGTCAGGCCAAGTCGATACTTCTAATTTTATTATTTTATGTGACAATATTTACAAACTGATTTGATGCACTACATATTTAGAAGAATTCTTCATTCTAAAAATTTCTTTCTGTTAATGGATAAAAATATATTTTAATTTTTTTTCAGTTATATGCCCCAGGAGGGCCAGGACTTAATAGATGGTCTCTAAAATTCTTGCAAGCCTAAAAAGTTTACCTTTACGCTCAAAAGTGTTCTCTCAAACATCAATAAAATCTATAAACTAACTATGAGAGACTTGGAGCACTACATCCTATCCTATTAAGCAGATGACAACTCATGATACTCTTTCAACAAATTTCAGTCTTCAGGCACCAATCTCGAGGCATTTAACTGATCTCGATACAAATCTTATATCAAAAAATATTTAAACTTTGTAAAAATTAATCCAGGCAACCAATTCCAGCAAACTTATATTAAAATTTACGTGCTCAACGAGGCGGATCCAACAACACAAAAACAGTTTGATCTGAGTTAAATCAAGCCAAGAGCAAGTCGCACATCTCTGAGATGCATCCTACCACCAAAAGGTGTCAATCAAAGAGTCAAACCTTGACTTATCTCTGTTAGGTACCTAGCCTTACATAATCTGGAAGTACTTGGTCATAGCTTGCAATGCAAGAAATTGTCCCCTCTTTGGGAGGGTCCATTGTCACTGACATGATCAAGCCCAAAACATTCAAGCTCAAGGGCTCGGAGAGGAAGATCCTACTACAATTGGGAATTTTAAGACTATCCACAATTATTAATAGCAATGTTCAAATTATGTAGTCTTCGGTTTATATGTTCTTTTTTGCTTTTCTAATTATTATGTTTGTTATTTTTAATTTCGTTTGTCTTTCCTTTTCACAATTATTGTACTACATCTCATATTATTGTGTTTGCTTCCCTATTAGCATCAATGTATCTCCAACAAATTAAATTAGTATGGTTTCCTTGCTCTCCTCTATATGGAGGACACCTCAAGCAACTGCAACAGTTCATTTACAAGAAACCTCAAGCTCTCAACCCAAGAAATACACAACTTCGATTTCCTCTTAATCAGAGTGCGATCCTTTAATTTTTTATACCAAGCCAAATAATTTAAATGACCATTGAATTACCAAGAAAATTTAAGATAGGTGTGATCACTTTGCGTCTTGCACGGATGACCGCTATTTTGAGGGGTTATTCCAATGTTACGGTGCATCCTTGGGCCTTCATTGATGGTTATAGAACAATTCCCATCTTTTTGGGACCCTATGCGGCCAAGGAATCGTGTCAGAAACCTCTGTTGTGCTTTGAAAAGTTAACCCAAAATTTTAATCTTTTGTGGACACGCCCAGTTCTAGAGCTTCATTAAACCAGTCAATGCCCTACCAAAACGAAAAACCCTACTCAAGACAGAGAGCATGGCATAATTATGTGATAATGTGGCTTAGCAATGGTAGGGCATTGACATGAACACACCAGTTAGGGCTTCACTACCCTCACTTGGCTAGAATTTCTTTTTCTTGCTAGAGCTGAAGGGAGAGCTTAGGGAACAAAAAGGATGCTAAGATCTTCTTCATCCTCTTCTTCTTCTTCCACTTAATTTCCTCCACAAAAACTCATATTTTCTACATCATATATAAGAGAGTGAGGGTGTGTGGTCTTGTTGCGAGCGGCATTCAAAGAAGAAAGCATCCACTTGTTTTGGAGAAAGATAGAAAAGGGCTTCTCTTTTCATAAGGAGAGCTTCATTAAATCATTAGGGATGGAAGAAGGAAATCCACCACCTCCTTTCATAAGTAGTGCTACATCCTTTAATTCAAATAGGAGGAAAGTAAAGCTTCATCACTTCTCTTATAGCAGGAAGAGCTTTGTTCTATGAGAAGAAATGCAACATCAGCTGCTAGGGTGGTTAGATTTCTTCAAACCCATACTGTTCTTTTTTTTTAGCCACTAGGCTGAGAGATTTACGAATTTGGGCTTTTGTGATAAAGGGAGGCATTCTAGGTTATTATTCTTTCATGGAGAAATCCTTAGTGAATCTTGAGTGTCTTACCCTCATAAAAATTTAGTGCTAAAAACAATTCCTTCAGGATTCAAATAATACCATGACTATTTGGAAAACCTAACTCTTGATGAAGAGGGTAAGTCAAAATTACAAAAGCTTTGTCTATGATAGGAGCTTTCACTTGGTTAAATTGAGTCCTCATGGAAAATTTTTTCACATTCTATTAATTAGTCAGAAGTTGGCCCTCTGTTTCTAAGCAACAGACTGGTAGACACACTTTCATCACGCCAAAACTAAGATCCTCTGTGAGAACATTAATTTGAGTATGGTTTGTATTTATACATGATACTTGTATGGGATTGTGTTTTTAACTGTGATGCATGAATTGTATGTTGCACTTAGTTCAACCGGCCTCTCCAACACCTTCAATCATCCATTATGGCTCTACCGGCCTCCCTGATAAGGTCAGCATTGCACTTTAATTCAATCGGTCGCACTGGCATGGTCATTCTTACACTTGATTAAACCAAAAACCCCAGCATGTTCAATCCAAATTTTGTTTTGACGGGTCATCTCTAAAAAGTCACCTTTTTTTTCAGCATAATACATGACCTATATGTGCATGAACAAATGTCCATATGATACTTTGCATAATAATTAGTTACATCTAGTGCACATTATTTACTTGCACTAAGGCATCCAGAACTGGTTCATTCATTATGCACCACATGAACATGTGTTTGTACATGTTTTTGGCTAGCAGTCGGGCTTAAATTGAGCATGATAGTTAGCTTTTCTGGCCATGAAATCTTCATGTTATGCACATATCTCTTCTTTCTACACACACATCTACACAAGCTTACCTTTTGCATGACCATGTGTTGCATATTTGAATAGAACAAAAGTGATTGCCCATACACTTCACTTGTGTGTGATTTTCTCTAGTAGGAATCAACACAACCTTTCAGGTCGCTACCTTCTTGGTATACCAAACACTCTGGGTCACTGATACCCTCCTTGACATCCTCGGCTTACCTAGACCTTCAGGTCACTCCCTTCTCGACATACCCAGCTCTTTGGGTCACTGTCTCCTCAGTATACCCAACCCTTTGGGTATTTGCCTCCTAGGCATACAAATTCTTATGGGTCACTACATCTTTGGCATATGAACCATACAAATTGTTGCATCATCAGCATACCCAAACCTTTGTGTCACTTCCTTTTTGGCATACCTATTTCCTTAAGCAAATGCTTCCATAGTACGCTCATCTTGTGAGTCAATGCCTTTGTAGTACTCTGACACCTTTGAGCTAATACCTCCATGGTACGCACATCCTTTGAGCAAATGCTTTCACTATACACTCACAGCTTTGAGTGAATGCCTCCACTATAAGCTCACACCTGTGAGTCCATCCCTTTGTGATGCACTCACACTTTCAAGCCAATGCCTCCATTGTACACTCACATGTTTGAGTCAATGCCTTCACGATATACTCACCACCACTTCACTATATGTTTACTTAAATTTGAATTTGCATGTGTGTTTAATAGAAAATTAAGCTCAATAAGCAAGTGACCTGGTGTTTGTCAAGATGTGTTAACGAGCACTTCTTGCTAGGTTAATCCCATTTAGCAATGCGAGTTATTGCACCTAGACCAATAATAATATGACCATGTCAAGGATCCAAGCATCAAACTCGTGACACCATCCAAGTTACATATTTGTGTTTAGTGGACCTAATTTAAACTAAGTAAATATATAAGTTTTCTTACATATGATATTTGTCAATGTTTTAAATTTATGCCATTTTTAAACCCAAATCTCCTAAAAATTCATCCAAGGTGGCAACATTTAGATCCCTTAGATCTCTAGATTGGACCAATGTGGTGGCTCTATCAAAGTCATATGTAACCGAAGAATTTACCCTAAGCACATAAATGTCAGTTATGATACCTTTTATTAGATAGTGTACTAGCTCAAATCTAGGTTGTTAGGTAATATGTTTAGCACTTAACTATTCTTCTTTTCTCGCTTGGTTGTCTTAGCCAGGTGCCTTTTTTACTTGTGCTTAGATGTTGAACATGTTTATGCATTCACATTAGTATATTATGTCAATTCTTCTTATAGAGAATCATGCCTAAAAATACACACACACACGTAAACTCATGTGAAATAGGGAAGAGCAATGTAATGATATTAACAAAAAAAATTATTAGATCCTCCCTCCTGGCACTGCTCATATGCATTTCTTTTTAACCAATGCTAACATGTTTCTACAACATAAGTTATTTATTTTATCATTTATT